GGAGGAGGGGGGGAAGAGATGAGCGAGGCCCGACGGCTCGCTTAGGAGGGGAGGGGGAGAGAGACGAGGGAGGCCTACGGAGGGGAGGGGAGGGGGGAAGAGAAAAAGTGGAGACCCAACAGTACGCAACATTTTGTTGCGGGTCTCCACTTGTATATACTATTGCTCATATGTGCTATCCTAATTAATTAATGTTTGTCTTTTTTATTTGAATACTTTATATATGAAAGGTAAATGATATATTGTAAGCATTAATTTGTAGGGAAGTACCGTGTTTCCCCGAAAATAAGACACTGTCTTATATATATTTTTTCTCAAGAAGACACACTAGGGTTTATAGCACAAATGCATCCCGCTAGGACTTATTTTTTGGGTAGGTCTTATTTTTGGGGAAACAGGGTATCTAAAGTGAAAGTTAGTTTATTACTGAGAGTTGCTACTCTGAATTTGTAGTGTGTAGATAGTTTATAGTATAAAAGCAATAAAAAAGTTATAAAAGAAGGATTAATCTCTGTCCATAACAGAGTACAAATATAAAAACATTTTCCATTAGAATTGAAATTTAACAAGAAGACCCATGGGATAAGGAGCCATTTCACCACAAGGAATGTATAGCAACACACACGCCAATCCAAATATCCTTCATGAGCTCTTTTAAGAGGCAACATGACTAGTCTGGAATTTGTGAAACGTTTAAGAATTGCACATAAATTTTAAAGGTCTTAAAATATTGATGGGCTGTGGCTCAGTGGCAGAGCATCTCTTTTGCCTATAGAAAGTCCCCTGTTCAGTCATTAAGACTTTCAGGTAAAGGATCTCAAGTACCAGCTTTTGGGGGAGGCCTTTCTCTGCATGAGACCTTGGAGAACCACTGCCAGTATTGGACCAATGGTCTGATACTGCGTCAGACAGCTTTGTATGACAGTATTTAGAAAACATAAACTTGATAAATTTTAAGTTAATACTATTAAGTGACTTCCCAAATTCAAATGCACTTGTGCCTTGATTTTTTAATAACATTTACTTTAGTGTTAAAAGTATAAATCTAAGCAAATTTAAAAATTGGTTGTATTTGCTTGATTTTCCCCCAGGCTCAGATTTATTTCTGCTTGAGTCTCCAGTCTTGACTCAGCACAGCAAATATCCCATCTTTTCTACTGAGGAGCCCCATATTTCCTAGCTGCAATACATTGTACGTTTCACATATTTGCAGATCTTGCATAATGTTTTTCTAAGATCTCCGTTTTCAAAAGATTTTGGCAAAGAATAAAAGCAACTGGAGATTAGTAGAATGATAACCTTCAGGGAGCTATCCAGGACATTGAAGCCTTTCTTCTTTGCCCTCTGGAATTCAGCTTCCTTTCCTGTCTTCTTAGAAGCCACTGCTGATACATTTTGGACTACGGTGAAAAGTCTGGGGGGGGGGGGAGAACTTATGTTTCTTCTTTTATAGTTGTAAGGGCTAGAAATGTGGTATCTTTAGACTAGAAATCTGGAATTCTTCAGATGTGATATTCTGCACCAGGATAACTAATAATTGCATGGCAAGGAAGGCAGTGAACTCACAGTACATTGATAGAGGGAGGAAAAAACACACGACTGTAATATTCTGCCCGTGAGGAAATACTATTTTTTTGCTGTACCCTTGCAGTGGGAAAGGGTTCATCTTCCTTAATGACAGGGCCTTACTAGCCAAAGAAGCATCTCTGTGTTGACAGTTGAGCAGATGAGCTAGATGGGTTCGGGCAGGTGAGGATGCTGCTTGATGCTGATGCAGCTACAGTGCTCTCCTCCTCCTTCTCTGTTCCAGCCTGGTGGCGATCCCTGTTTACATGAAGCACAACATCAGTTTCCGAGACAGCAGCTCGTTGGGCCGCTTCGAGATCACAGTGGGTCCCAAACAGACTATGGGGAAGACCGTGGAAGGGGTGACGGTTACCAGCCAGATGCCGAAAGGTGTCCTCAACATGACCCTCACACCTTCGCAAGGAACGCACACCTTTGATCCTGTTACAAAGGTGAGAGGGGAGTAGGCAGTGGAGTCTGGTACCCAGGCCGTTCCCTCATTTTCTCTCATACCTTTTATTCTGGGAAGAGATGAGATGGGAGCTCTTCAACCTGTTTCAATACTCCTCTGAATCTTTTTCCACCATAGAGTTGCCTAGTATTCAGAAACCACACATGGTCCCAACTTAATTGGCATTCCCTGTTTCCAGTGGGATGCAGCTGTTTGGTGAGCAACCCATGCCAGGTACATGCGGTTTGCTCTACAGAGATGGAGGGATAAAGTAACTCCTTCTACTTCATAGTCCTGCCACCCAAATGGCAGCTGTCAAATGGGACCTGGAACTGGCATTTTTATGTTGCTCTTGTCTTGGGTCATTCCTATGATGGGAAGCCTTCTCGAGTCAAGTAAAATCAAATCCCATACCCATCATGGGACAACGAAACCCTCCTGGCTGTATTATTTATTTCATATTTTACCATTCTGCCTCTTAGAGCTACAAGGACTCCCAAAGCAGCTTTAGATACAAGATTTTCTTTTGAAGTTAAAACAAAATTTTAGGCACTCAAATGGCCAAAGGCCTGCCCTGAAATGGAAGTTCTTAACTACCCTAAGAAATACATTGAGCAGATCTGGAAGGTCTCCTTGGGGTAAGGAGTTCCACAAAGAGGGGCCACCACTGGGAAGACCCTGTTAATTATAGCCATCTGTCTGACCTACAGACTGAATGTTCAGAGATGCCTTCCTAATATCAGTTAAATTGAAACAAAAGTGTATATTACCAGGCTTTGTACGCTTCCTTTGAGAGAACTTCCAATTTAATCCATAAAACTTGGCTCTCTGTTTAAAGTCTGGCAGTATTTTAATATTTTCATTTTTATTCCTTATTGCAATCACACAAGAACTAAAAAAGCTTTAAAAATACCTGAATCAAAATGTACAAGTGGAGACCCGCAACAAAATGTTGCGTACTGTTGGGTCTCCACTTTTTCTCTTCCCCCCTCCCCTCCCCTCCGTAGGCCTCCCTCGTCTCTCTCCTCCTCCCCTCCTAAGCGAGCCGTCGGGCCTCACTCATCTCTTCCCCCCTCCTCCCCCTCCCCCCCGTGCTGTTTCTGGCATGATCCTCTCCACTCCTTTGCAGAAAAGCAGGGCTATGCCTGCAGGGGGGTCAAATATCTATAACTCTTACCCCCCCCATTCTTGCTGATTACAAGGGGATTACAAGGGAGGGAAGCCTGAAGCCAAGAAGGCCGGCGGAGTCGGGGAGAGAGAAGCACAGCAGGATTTTGTATTTTTGTGCACATGTGGGGACTGGCCCACGTGTACACAAACCTCCCCCGCCCCCCCCCAGCTGCCCCCGGAGTGCTGATTTAGCGATCCGCACTCCGGGGGCAAGTTGGGAATTAGATATATAGATTCAACAAAAAAAACCCTAAAAGTACACCCTTCATTCAACCCCCTCACCGGTTAAAATTGGCTTTCATGCAGTTTAACAAGGAAATGCTTATTGGTTGCATTTTCTACACACATTGATTTGCAGTGCAATCTGAAGGGCACTTTCCTCAGAATAAGCCTCACTGAATAGACCTGAATTGGATCCTGAATAGACCTGCTTAGGATCGCTTTCTTTGTCACTGGTAAAACATGCAACTATAGTTCTTCATGACCGTGGCTGTTTAGAATGTGGTTGCAGAAGTGATTGGGTGCCTATTGAGTAGTATCTGGGGTGTCTTTAGTGAAGAGTAACTCAACTCTTCTCCATATCTGAACCAACTTTTTAAAAACTTTCCCAGGTTTTATTTTATTGGGTCTTGGAAAGGCTGCCCTGCTGGTGTGTAGAAGCACATGTGCATTTTTAAAAGCAGCTGTCTGTAAGGGCAGGTTTGAGCCTCAGCACTTCTGTTTGCATAAAGTAAGGAGAATGGCCCAGGATGCCATGTGGGAGGCATGCCCA